AGCGGCTGGGCCCGTGAGCCATGGCCGCTGAGCCTGTGCGTCCGGAGCCTGTGCTCCACGACGGGAGAGGCCACAACAGTGGGAGGCCCACGTACCGGCAAAAAAAAAAAAAAAAAAAAAAATTACTTAATAGCAGCATTGAAATAACATCAATATGTCTTTATAAACAATGAATACTATTTATGAAAAAAGTTTTGACACTAAATTGGCAACCATTGCTGTTTAATATAATTCTGGCATTGGTGATATTCTCTAAGACTCTGAGCTAAACCTGTTTTTTCTGTGGGGGCCTCAGAGCAATGTGGTTCTACTTGAAAATGCCCCTACAGATAACTCACCTACAACTGTAAAGGCCCTAGCATGAGAAAGAGGTATGCAGTGCTCGCTGACAGTTCTAAGAGGTCTCTAGATAATGGACTCCCTTTTCATCTATTTGCCTTAGAGGAGATACCATTCAACAAATGTTTATAGAATACTGGACCTTCCAGATTATACACTTCCATCTCTTGTGTTATCTCCCTTGGTCTGAAGATCTTCTCCTTCAAGCAACAGGTTTCATTTCAACCATGTTTATTATTGCAATTAACCTTCTCCTTCCAACTGGTCCTCAAATATTTTTAGAAAAGCAACAACCAGATACCTCCAAGTCTCCTAAAGATAAGTATCTTCCCCTTCCATCTTCAGCCATTAAATATTTGGAACAGATTATTTTATCAAATACCTACAGTTTGCCCGTAATATGCTAATTTAGAGGGAGCAATCCAGTATGAGTATAAACCTTAATTTCCTTTCTTTTCCAAGCCTGGATACTTCCTTATAATAAGGCTGAGTGTTGATGCTTTGCCCAGGGAGCACTACCAGCTAATTGCCCTGCTGTTCCTGCAAGCCAGGGCTCCTTTTAAGTCAGGCTAGTAGTTATTCTTCTGAGTAAGAACTAGCAGTTCCAAGGACATTCTTTAGGCACTCTCCTCTTCAGTCATAATTTTGTTGTGTCTTAACAACACAGTAATCCTTTCTCTTTCTTCATCTCACCCCCAAAAGAATGACATGGTTCACAATAGATAGGAGTGCTTAGCTTTGCCACCAGCCTTCCCTTCTTCCCTCCTTTCTTCCTTCCTTCCTTCCTTTATTTATTTATGGCTGCGTTGGGTCTTCGTTGCTGCGCGGGGGCTTTCTTTAGTTGCGGTGAGCAGGGGCTACTCTTTGTTGCGGTGCGAGGGCGTCTCACTGCGGTGGCTTCTCTTGTTGCGGAGCACGGCCTCTAGGTGTGCGGGCTTCAGTACTTGTGGCTCGCGGGCTCTAGAGCACAGCCTCAGTAGTTGTGGAGCACGGGCTCAGCTGCTCCACGGCACGTGGGATCTTCCCGACCAGGGCTCAAACCTGTGTCCCCTGCATTGGCAGGTGGATTCTTAACTACTGCGCCACCAAGGAAGCCCCATTTCCCCTCACTTTTCTTTCCCACCTGCTCAACAAGAATACCTGTAAAGAGGGGCAAGAAGATGCTGCTGTTGAAGGCCTTGGAGTCTCCCCAGCCCACAGGAGTAAACCCCAACTGCAATCTGCTTTCGCTTTAAAAATGTTTAAAGACATTTAATATTCAAATCAAGTACTTCATGATTACAGGCAGATTGAGCCATGATACCCAGGCACCCTTTCCTCATTTCCATTTGGAATATAGTACTCTACTGTATTCAAACATTTGGGTGAACAAGGGGTGTTCAAACATCTGGTGTCAGGACTTCTTTGGTCTCTTAAATCCTTGAGGACCTCAGTGAGCTTAAGCTTATGTGATTTAGATTTATCACTATTTCAGATTATACATTAGAACTGAGACATCTAAAACATTTAAAATTTTTATTCATAAATGAGCCCCAAATGCTCATTTTTACGCTAACAAAAATAATGTTTTTATGAGAAATATTTTTCAAAACAAAAAACTTTAGTGAGATTTTCACACATCTCTTTACTGTCAGACAATGGAAGACAGCTGAATTCTCACATCTCTTTCTGCATTCAATCTGTAGTGATATGCTCTTTTGGTTAATGTTTATAAAGAAAACTGAGTTTCACCAGATATGTAGTTGGAAAATTGTATATTTTCTTTGATACTATAACAAAACTTGATAAGTGCTACCTTATTAAGGATTTCTTGTAAGGAGGAAACAAGCTTTATCAATGAACTTTGAATACTCTGTTCAATTAAAATCCACCGTATATCTTGCATTTTAAATGGATTTTTTTTCTTACCCATACCTGATTTTATAACTTCATATATTTGTCCCTTGGAAAATACTGGTAGATTGAGTTATGCAGATTTCCAAATGCTGACACACTTCATCGTGTAATATCAGAATCATCACATTCATTAATATGACCACTGATCTCATCGTAAGTATTGAGAAGCTGTCAAGCTCACAGAGGCAGATGTAAGTTTTCCCAAATTCCAATTTTCATCTGAAAGCTGGAATTATTGACAACAAATGCTATCAGTTGTTTTACTTGAAGTGATAGTCTTGCTTTACTTAAAAAATAAATAAATAAGAGGCTGAATGATAACTAACCAACAAAACAAAAAAATGGTTAATTTGAGCTACCACCTATACCTTAAAACTAACTTCAAAGCATATTATTTTAATATATAGAATGGATAAACAACAAGGTCCTACTGTATAGCAAAGGGAATTATATTCAATATCCTGTGATAAACCATAATGGAAAAAATATGAAAAAGAATGTATGTATAACTGAATCTGTTGTCTATGAATGTTTTTATTCTTTCCCACTAACTTATGCTGTATAGCAGAAATTAACAAAACATTGTAAATCAACTATACTTCAACAAAATAAATTTTAAAAAAAATAGATGACTTTTTTTCCTAGCTTTGAATGTTACTAATGGAGATAGGCAATGGCTGTAGATTTTAATAGGTGTCCTTGGTGTGCATAAGCAATAAAAGCAGGAGAAGGAAAAATACAAGGAAAAGTTGGAAAGGGGAAGTAGAAGGAAAGAGGGAGAGAAGAAATGAAAAAGAAAGTGAGGGTTGGCAAAGTGCTACCAACAACTGTCTTATTTACCATTCAATACCTATTAACTGTCAGTCCATTAGATGCCTGAAAAATGTAGACATGTGCTACATCTACATCTATTCCTATGAAAGACCTTGTCCTTAATCACTCTTAAAATACTCACGGCTTTAGAAGTGATAAACGATTTAAACTATTTTCAAAGAATGACATATATGACAAGAAGATAAAACACATTAAACAACCTATTTT